TTTTTTTTTTTTTTTTTGGTGATATGAAAGCTCCAATCCCAAATGTTCTACACTGAAATTAGTCATCCTCAACCCATGAAATGTATTTCATATTGTGAGCTGTGGTCAAACAGTTAGAAAGCCATGTTGGAATGGGTTCTCATTGCCAGTTCACTTTTCACACTTCTGAACTGATCAAATATTTTACAGTTGAGCATGTGCTACTTTTCAAATTACAAATGGACAGTAGGGAGGAATGATACAGCTTAATGTAACAGAAGTAGACAGGAGCCCTGTTTATGATGACTGCAGGGCTTGTCACCACCCACCCTGCCTACCCCAGCAGTCGCTTCTATTTACATTTATAACACCAGGGAGGAAATGGTGAGGGTGATAGTGGAAACCTTTTTGGAAAATCACCTAAAGGCCACATACCATGCACCCATTTTCAAGCTCCTGTATTCCACTTTGGCCTTTTTTACCCATGTGCTTACAAATTTGCTCCATCATGCAAACTGTGATGTTCACATTTCATAGTGTGTATTCTTTCTCATGGTTTATTTTCATGAGGCATATTCTTGGTCATGAATTTATTAGTTTAAGGGTATGACCAGATTTTGGGGGTGTTAAATGAAAGGGTAGTAACAGATCTCTCTGCTGCCAACAAGATACAAACATGCTTGCCAGCAATAGTGGTGGTTATCTTATTAAATTAAGAAGTGTGAAATAGTATCTCTGGATATTGTTTAAATTTTATTTCCAGCTGGGGGAATATAGCTCAGCGGTAGAGCGCTTGTTTCACATGTTCAAGGCCATTGTTTCAATCCCTAGCCTGCAAAAAAAAATAAAAATAAAAATAATGTTTTATCTGTTAATTATATTGATTTTCCATTTCATAATGTTTGTATCCATTATTTACTTAAAACTGGAGTCTTGTTTTATTTAGTATCAATGTTTATGTGTTGTATTTATCCTACTTCATAAGTGCTACAGTTGCATATCACTTATTATTTGTATCCTTTATTATTTTAAAGTTTCTTTTAATCATATGGGAATTTTGAGTAGTCTTGTACTTTTTCCCTGTTGCCTCAGAAAATGAGGCCAGGGACAATGACACATGCCTATAATTCCAGCTACTCAGTCTGAGGCAGGAGGATGGCAAATTCAAGGCCAGCCTGGGAAACTTAGAGAGACCTTGTCTCTAAGTTTGTCTTCTATTTTACCTTGAGACAAGGTCTAATAGAAAGGGCTGAGTGTAATTCAGTGGGAGAGAGCTTGCCTAACACGTATGAAACCATGGATTAAATTCCAAATACTGTTTTAAAAAAAAGGATGATTAAGCTGGGGTTGTGGCTCAGTGGCAGAGTGCTTGCCTAGTATGTGTGAGGTACTGGGTTCCATCCTCAGCACTACATAAAAATAAACAAATAAAATAAAGGCATTCTGTTCATCTCTAACTATAAAAAGAAGAGCAACCCACGTTTATTTTAAAAAAAAAAAGATGATTAACATGGACCTACTGAGATACTCTGTTTTCCAAGACATGCTTTTTTAACTCTCCTCAGATTGCTGATATGTTGTCTCAACATTATTAAATAATTCTACCTTTGGCCCTGTTTTGAGAAGTTGATGAAATGACAAACATGTGCCTTGTATTTGCCATATAAATATTTTTTTATTAATAAGTTCTTGGAATTGAGACAGTTTGAGGTATAATAATTGTTTTATATGCACACAAAATAGATTTTGGATTCTTCTCTGCTGGGGTGGTAACTAGTTTTGGAAAAGTTTGTCCATCTACTTGTAGGAAGCCAATATGCTTAGTCTTGTGTGTGTGTGTGTGTGTGTGTGTGTGTGTGTGTGTGTGTACTTTAAGGTAAATGATATAGGTATTAATGGACACATCAATAATAGAGGGCCAAGTTCTGCTTTCCTTCAGTATGACTTGGTTAGCAGATAAGGTGAGATGCCAATGACCATGTTCACTTTGAAGTCATTTTGGGTTAGGTCTGGCTGTTGGGATTCTCTGACTTGGCTTTGGGCCCCAGCATCTGTGCAAGCAGTTATTTCTTGTTTGGTTGTGTGGTTTGTGGGGTGAAGAGAGTAAAGCAGGTGGGGAGAGAAGCCAGGTACCCTGTGGAAGGAGAATCTCCATGCTCCACAGCATGAGTCTCCCTGCTGTTTGCAACTCTGTGAGGTTTCCTGTGGGGCATCTGTTCTCCATACTGAACTGGATGAACTTGTAGGAGATAAGGGATCTTAAGGGTGAGATTCCCTGTGTCACCACAGAATAATCATGTCTCAAAGACCCTGGGCAAGCGGAACAGGGATGAGTCACCCAAACTGAATTGGTTTATTTGTTAATTTATTAGTAGTTTCTTTATGGAACTACAGTCAGGGAGAGAGGGGGGATTCTGGTTTGGTTGGCTAAAGGGCACTTTCTGGTGGCAAAAGGGTACTTTCTAGGATTCCTAAACATTTGGGTACTATGTCTGCACAGCTCTTTCACCTTCCATGTCTTTAAGGCCAGCTCTGGGAAGGGAAGAGCCATCTGCCTTTCAGCCTTCTCCAGGAACCTCAAAGAAGAGGGTACATTTTGCATTCCAAGGAACAGGATTGTCTTGTAGGTTTAAAAAAAAAAAAAAAAAGATACAGTTTCTACCACTATTTTCCTGCCTTGTGGTACATTTTCAGCTGAGTTTGCTGTTTTTTGTGATAAACTTAATCAAGTTTTAGGTTTAATTTTTTCCCTACATGTCTGAATCCATCTATAGTCTACCACCAAATATTCCCATACAAAAACAAAAATCCCCAGTGCTTTGGGGCTCTATAATTGGTGATACAAAAACAGATGGATATTAGTTTCTTTGGGTAGTTAATTGTCTGCAAGGAGTTTTCCTCTCCTGACCCTCAGTCTGTATGCTATACCCCAACCAACAAGGCTCTTTTACTTTCAGAGGATCCCCAAAGCAACTGCAGCCCCTACCCAAGCTGATACCTGGTCCTCTGGCCACATGTCTGGAAGCATGTCCCTGTTTTCTGAGGAACTTGTCAATAATGCAGATTTAAGGCCCAGCCAAGACCTACTAAATTGAATTGGGCTGTGGGGTGAGAAGTGCTGTAATCTGAATTTGGAATAAATGATCTTGGTTCCAGCTGGGGTCATCACTCTAGTGGTATCAGGGACTAGTCAATAAAAACCCTGTTTTAGTTGGAGATACCAAGGCCCCAGGAGGGAAAGCCTTGATAGAGTCAGGCCATCCTGCTACAGATGCCTCTGTCTCTACCTGAGATCCTTGTGTTTCTTCCTGCAGCACCTCACATGTGTCTAGCTATGTTCTAGCCTCTCAAGGGTGTGTCCTTATCACAGAGTCCTTGGGCACTGGGATGGCTGTGCCTCATTCTTACAGGGCAGTTTTGTGGAAGCATTCTTCTAATGGTGGTAGGAGGGTAGGAAACAGGGCTGCTGGGTGATTGACACCTTCCTGGCTAGGTTTTGAGGTCAGACAGACTGGATTCTTCCAACAGGGCGTTTACCTCTCTTCCATCCCTCCTGGGAAGGCGAGAGCAGGGTGAATGAATGGTGGGCTCTAGACAGCCTCTCGGTTCCATACCTTAGGAGGGTTGACTGAGAGGTCGATCCACTTCCAGAGGAATGTGCTTCCTTGTCCCTTCTCTGCACCATTGTCTCAGCAAAGTGGCAGGGCTTCCATGGCTTCTGCCATGTAAAAATTTGAAAGTTGTCATTCTTCACACAATATACAAAGGTGGCAGGTGCTGATTTCTTACTATCTATTGGGGATGGGTTGTGTCCTCACTGGCCTTGTTGTTCTGGCCCTGATCCCTGTTCTAGCTGGCTTCCCCTTACTCTGGGAAGGTGGGAGGTGAACAGGGGGCTGGGGAGGGAGCTTTGCTCAGTGAGCTTCAGATCCTGACCCTGAATGTTAGCTTAGACATCCTCTCCTTCCCCAGCATAAGCCTTGCTTTGGCAGCAGAGATTTTCACCTTTCCCACCACTCTCCACCAGAGGATGGTAGAGGAATTTAGGGATCACCTGGATTATCACTGGGGTTCAAAAAGGAAAAAAATATAGGTGTTTTTTCAGAGTTTTCCCTTGGGACCATCCCCCCTTTTGTATGATTGTGACAGATTTTGGGGAATGGACTCAGATAAAATCAGCAGTCACCACCCTTCAAAATGTAGGTCACAGGATGTTCCCACAGGGGTTGTTATAGTCTAAGCTTTATTATAAGCCCCAAGAAGCCAAAGCTGTGGTTGGTCATAGGGAGAAGGCAGAGAAGAAGGGGTGGAGGCAGATGCTGGCAGCTATGGGTTGTTGGGGTCTTTCTACCCAGGCCAGGGTGCTGGGCCCTCACCTCTGTGCAGGCTGAGCTTGGGAAGATAATAGGTAAATGAATATGGAACCTTAGTTCTGGCTTTATGTATTGGCTGTAGTTGGATCATGCAAACCTGCCTAACCTTTCATTTCCTCTTCCCAAATGTGACTCTTCGTGGTCAGGCTCTGATTCCTCATTTCTTTGGTTGGCTCTGGAGTGTGGAAGGATATGGAGTGTGGAGTCAGCTGCTCTTGGTGCAGATGTTAGATCTATTATTGCTCTCTTGTCCTTGGGCAAGTCACATGACCTTTCTGAACTCCTGTTTCCTTAGCATGAAGTGGAAAAATCAATAGCCAATCGTGAGGTGATGAGCTGAATGTTTGGGATGATTCCAAGCAGAACTCCAGGGACTTAAAAGACGTTTTAAAAATTGTTAATTTTCCATTCTTTAAAAATTTCCTCCTAATTTTGTTTTCAAAAGCCAACCTAATCTGATTTTTACCTCATACATAGCTGATATTAGTAGTAGACTGTGCTTGGACTAGCAAAAGGACAAAAGAGAAACAATCCCGAGATTTCTGGAATCTGTATGAGCCTCAACTTTTTTCTTTTCTTGAGGAGCAGGTTTTGGGCAGATGCCTTAACACTAAACCTGCGCTCTCATCAGTTGCTATCTCTTTGCAGGTCCTGCTTCTCAGAAGATGCACTATTACAGATACTCGAATGCCGAGGTCAGCTGCTGGTACAAGTACCTCCTCTTCAGCTACAACATTGTCTTCTGGGTAAGTATAGGAGAACAATCATATTTTCTTGTGCAGTCCTTCATGAATGAATCATGATTCTGTGCATATGTTTGATTGCCAAGCCCTGCCTAGGTGAGGCTCTGGAACCAGCAAATGTGATGGGTGAGTCAAGGTGATTGAAAGCTGGATTAAGGGCCCCTAACTCAGCCTTGGGTTTCAGGAAGGCTTGGAGCTCTGGCCCAGGTGCTATCTTTCCTGCCCTCAGAAGGCTCCCAATGAAATGAAGACAGTATGGTACTTGTCAATTCAATTCAAATTCAATGTGCATTTGACTGTGTGATGCTTATGGTTTACCAAGAGCAGGATTAGCCTGGCATTAGAAAGCAGGCAGGGAGAAGCTCCTTGGCTGGGGAGGCTAGGGAAGAGCATTCTGAGGAGGTGACTTGGGGGCTGAGATCTAGCCTCAAACTCAAAATTCTCTTGCCTCAGCCTTCCAGATAGTTGGGACTTTAGGAGTGGACCACGACTCCTGATATGAATATTAGTGAAGGAGCAGCCAAATGGGAGTCTGGGGGGAAAAAGCTCCAGGCAGAGATAATAGCAGTTGCAAAGATCAAAAGAAGGCCACGTGACTGGAGCCAAGCATGGGTGAGAGGGAGCACAGTGTATGTCAGTTTTCTTTGTCAGTAATCGTGGTGGAGGTCATTATCAGAGGAAGGAGTAGGCTAAGAAGAACATCAAAACAAGTGAGCATGTTGACCAAGGAGAGGGAAATTTGGAATATTGAATCCTGGGGTGCCAGAGGCTAGGTGGAGGAGAAAATCCATGCAGAATTGGCTGAATGGATGGACTAAGGTAAAAGGGAGACCAGGAGAGCTCATGTTATAGAAGTCTCTGAAGTAGAAAGGAGCAGTCAACTATGCCTCATCGAGGTGGTGCAGGATGAGGACTGAAAACTGGCAGTGGCTTGGACACCGTAGAGGTTGTTGGTGACCTTGATTGGAGACACTGTGCTCTGGGTGAGAGTGGGGGCGGTGATGGAAACTCAGCTGGAGTTGGCCAAAGGAGCCAGCAGAAAGTGAGGGAGTGAAACTGAGACTCTTGGTAGTTCTTTAAAGGACTCTTGCCTTAAAGAGAAGAAGAAAAATTGGTCACTGGCTGGAGATGGTGAAAAAGTTGAGATACATCATGTGTGTCTTGCAGTAGAATTGGTCCAAGGAGAGGAACAGGAGGACAATAAGGGACATGATAATTAAAAATGCTTTTAAACCATAAGCCTTTTAATGGTTGCAACCATTAGTATTTGTTGTAGTTGAGCTCTTGAAAGTTTAGATCGATCGCAAAGTCCCATGTGTTATAAGCTTGATCCCTAGCCTAGGTGCTGTTCCACAGGTAGGGCCTAGTGGAGGTATTAGTTTATTGAGGGGTGCCCTTGAAGGAGTTAGTGGGACCTGGTCTCTTCTTGTTTCTTTCTTTTGCATTCTGGCTGGTAGGTGAATGATTTTGCCATATACTGCTTCCATGATGTGCTGCTTCTGACCACAGGCTCCAGAACAATGGGCCAAAAGTCATGGACTAAAATCTTCAAATTTGTGAGTCAAAATAAACCTTTTCTCTTTATGAACTGATTATCTCAGGTATTTGTGGCATCAATGGAAAGCTGACTAGCACAGTGTCTGTGGATTTGGTGGTTCCTGTTTGGACTGGAACTTTTGAAAACTAGGCAGACTCACTAAGACTTCCCAGCTTTTCAATATTATTTTATATCATCATCTCCTGGGAATTCATCTCAGTGTGTTCTATTCTGGAGATCCAATGGCTTGGCCATTGACGGGGGGGATCCAATGGCTTGGCCTTTGACCCCAGGTCATTTGCTGTGCTTAGAATAGCCTTTCACAAACAGTGCCATCACTGCTCCTGAAATAGGACATTGCTGGACCTTGCAACTGTTGTTCCTGTGGGTCCCTCCTAATGGGAGAACTATGCCTTGTCCACATCATGTGTGGCTTCCCAGACCTGCATTGCTTCCTGTCTGGAGGGAAACCTCTGGACCCACCTGGCCTGTTCCCCCACTTCTCCAGGTCAGGTGAATGATAGAAGGCCACCTGGGCTATAGACAGCTTAACACTTGGTACACTGGAGCACTGGCTTCACCCCTGCTGGCTGTTCTTCCTTCACCTCAGACTGTCATCCAGATTTTTGTAGCTAGAGCAGAGCTGTCCTCAAGCTGCTGTAGCTGAGGGCCCTGGTCATCTCTGTTTCTTCAGGAACTTTTTTAGAACAGATTCTTGGCTCCTGGGGAGCTGTACTCACTTGCCTACTCTCACATTATAGCAGTAAATTCAAATAGCAGAGTTCATGAATTCAGGATTGCAGCAAGTCCACGTAGTGGTTGAAGGGCATTGTAGTGTTATCAGGGTTTTGCAGAATTGGCAATGTGTGCTGTTGAGAGTTAATCATTTTTCAGTTAGTGTGCACTGGGGCTGAACAGCAGGGAAAAACCAGAAACAGGAAATGAGAGCCTGGTTGGGCAATACAGGTGGGAGACTGGTCACGTTGGTCAGGCCCAAGCTGCCCTGACCCTCTTTGCTAGGTCCTGGCTGGGATTTGCCATCTTCCTCTGTGCAGTGTGGAGTAAGACCTGAGAATTGAGATGCACAGTCCTCTGTTAAGCTCATGGAGCAGAAAGGAGGATGTCAGCTACTCTGGGCACCAGGGTGCCAGTCTGGACTCTTCACTGAAACTGGTTGTCTTTGATAAGCCTGGTGTTCTTGTTGTGAAACATTGTTCTCAGCTGCTTGCTGTTTGTCTCATATGGTTGCAGAAATGTTTCAAATGGTATATCTCTTTAGAGAAATTTTCTTTTTTGAAATGGCGAGAAATACAAAAATAGAAAAATGTAATGAGCCTTACATTCCCATCATTGGGCTTCAAAATTATCCACTCATAGCTGATCTTAATTTCATTTGTTCCCCCCACCCACTCTTTGGATTATTTTGAAGCAAAGTCTGGATAGATGATTTTGCACAGTGTTGGTACTTGTTTTGTTTTGATGATTGAGGTGAGCAGTGGAGGAGGAGGATTGCTCAGCAGGCGGGGATGAATATGTAGAAGGCAGCCTGTTGTTTCTGCAGCCAGTTCTAGGTGATATGACAAATGCAAGCTTTAATTTAGCAGTTTGCCCCCATTGAGCATTATTTTCACAATAATTTTCTTTAAAGATAAATGCCTATTGCACTCTAACAATTTTTGTTAGCTCTTTTTTGACTTTGGAGCTGAGATTTCCCAGGAAATATTAATACATGATTGGGGTAAGAAACACGGATGCCACTGATATCTCTCTTCTGTTCTGAATTTCATGTTTCACATAGTGAGAATGGAGCTGGGCTTCCTGAGGGGTCTTATCATAGGGATAGGAAAAATTGCTTCTAGCCAAAATAGTTTTTTTGTTTGTTTGTTTGCTTGTTTTAACTGTACTGGATAATGCATCTAGGGGTACTCTTCCACAAAGAATTTGAGCTTTCCTGGTTTTGTAGAGGAATTCTCTAGAGCTGCATTCCTAGCTCTTTCTGGATTTTATTTTGAGACAGGGTCTTGCTAAGTTGCCCAGGTTGGCCTCAAACTTGTGATGCGCCTGTCTCACCCTCCTGAATCATTGGATTTATGGGCATGCACCGCAACACCTGGCCCAACAATAGCATTTTGAGAGTATGAGCATTTTTTACTTTTTAAATTGTAGTTTAGTTAGGCTAGACTTGTTTGCAGTGCAAAATCTTTAGCTCAGGGAAGTGAAAAATCAAAATCACAGTGAGATACCACTTCACATCTATGTCTGTTCTTTAAGAAAAAAAAAAAAAAGAACAAAACCCCCAAAACAACCCAAAATAAATGCTGGGAAGGATGCAGAAAAATTGGTGCCCTTGTCCACTGTTGGCAAGGATGTAAAATGGTGCAGCTATGATGGAAAACAATATAGTAGCTCCTCATGAAATTAAAAATGGAATCACCATGTGATCTAAAATTTCAGTTCTGGGTATAGACTCAAAAGAATCAAAAGCAGGATGTTGAAGAGAGATGTATATACCCACATTCATAGCAGCATTATTCACCATAGCCAAAGGTAGAAACAGCCCAAGTATCCTTTGATGATTAGGTAAATAAAATGTGGCACATACATGCTGTAGTGTCTTATTCATTCTTAATATAGGTGAACTTTGGGTACATTATGTTAAGTGAAATAAGCCAGATGCAAAAAGACAAATTGATTCCACTTAAAAGACAAACGTATGCTTCTACTTATGTTACCTGGAGTAGTCAAAAATCATAGAGAAAGTGGAATGTTGGTTGCCGAGGAGTGTGGGAGAGAGAATGGGGGAGTGTCTGAGTCCATTTGTGCTACTCTAACAAATTACCACAAGCTGAGTACTTATTGAAAAGAGACATTTATTTGCCTCATGGTTCTAGAAGTCAAGAAACCCACGCTCGGGTCCACATCTGTTGAGGGCCATCTTGCTGCCTCACAACAGGGCAGAGGCATCACATAGGCAAGAAAGAGGGCAAGACTAGCAGAACTTGTTTTTGTAACAAACCCATTCTGGTGATAATGAATTAACCTAACCACTCCTAAAGGTCCTGACTCTCAACACTGCTGCCTTGGGTAGTGAGCTTCTAGCACATCAATTTCAGGGAACACATTCAAGCATAGCAAAGAGTTACTATTTGATGGTACAGACTTTCAGTTATGTGAAATGAATTCTCTGGATGGATGGTGGTGATGGTTGCACAGACTGTCATCTATTTAATACCACTGAAATCCACACTTATATTGTATATTTTACCACAATTTAAAATTTTTAAAAATTTTTAAAAAAATCTCACTTTGGCTTGCAGAGGGAGGGAAGCTGGGAGAAGTATGTGCTGGAGGGACCATGTATGGCCCTCTGTATAGTTTTTTTTTTTAAATTTATTAGTATATTATTGGTACATTTATTGGTAATTATATGTATTAGTAGGATGTGTTGTTACATATTCATACATGC